AGACACATGAAGACACATGGAGACACATGAAGACACATGGAGACACGTGAAGCTGCTCAGTGAGAAAACGTCTCAGACGAAGATATTGCTCTTTCAGTCTCTTATTGTGAAAGGGTTAATCTACATTAAAACCTGCCGTGTTTCAGTTTCCTGTCTGTCTCAGCTGCTGAAACCTTGATCGTTTGATGACGGAAGATCTGGAAACTTCATTCTGACTATCAGCTTATGAAAAGTCAGTGGAGGTCGACCACGTCCACAGGCTCTCACACGGAGATAAAAATAAACGTGTCGGATCACAAGTGCAGCCACAGACTCAGCAGCCCGAGGACGAGGAGGACGAGGAGGACGAGGAGGACGAGTCGTCAGTCCGTCTCCTGAAGGCCACAGCGTCTCCTGAACTCCTGTCCTCGTTCATGGATCCACTTATTAGACACTGCAGAGACAAAGACAGCGTGAGACTCATCTCGAACAAAGTAAAACTCCAACACAGGATTGACGACCTCACCCCACTTGTTTCCAACGAGAACCGGACAGGCGGCGTGTCTGGTCCGATAGTCTCCGTCACCGCTGGGGTACAGATTGTACCAGAACACTGCCGTCCCCTGAGGACGCACCAACATCCGTCAATTCATTTCTAGATCCTCTGATAACCAATAACCAATAAAGACAGAGTCAAGCATCAACTCATTAAAGAATAAAAACTAGTTCCATTATCGATTATTCTCCTGATCGACGGATGAGTCTCAAAGATCTTTTTCTTTCAGAAGCTGGAACCAGAAACTTTTGTCTTTTTTATGATCGATCAATAATTTACTTTTTTTTATTACGTTTTTTTCTCTTAAAGTTTATTTTTGTTTGACGTCAGTTTAACTTTTATTAATTATCAATAGAAATTGTTGTATTTCTTTTATTTCTGAAACAAATCTTTAAATGATGTAAATTACAAAACCAACAATAAAAACTTTGAATTAACACAAAACTAATTCACGCTACGTCTCATCTCGTCTACTTTGATCTTTGGGAGTGAACGGCACCTTTTTGGGCCAGATGGCAGCTCGGACATCAGTGAAGACTGTGGCGCCCCCTGCCTGCACGTCGCTCATCTGCAGCAGAAGAATCAGAGGCTTAATGAGTCTGAGCTGCAGCAGCCGAACACGTGAAAACTCACAGAGACGCTCACTGACGTAAAGAAGCCACGTAGCGATTCTGTTTCCTGTCCCCAGCTCCTTGAACGCGTCCGGTTCGTCCTTCTGCAAAATCAGGACAACAGGTCAGTGGGTCAACAGGTCAGTGGGTCAACAGGTCAGTGGGTCAACAGGTCAGTGGGTCAACAGGTCAGTGGGTCAACAGGTCAGTGGGTCAACCTGCGTGTCGGAGCGAAAAGTTCCCCGTGTCTACGTCTTAGACTTTATATAAAGGAAACACTTCTTCTTCTTCCTGTGATGTCATTTCCTGGAGAATCTTCAAACGCTTCATATCTCAAATCTCAGCTCAAAGAGAATTCATCATTTTTCCCAAAAGAAGAATGGATGTTATGGTTTTTATTTTAGATTCAAACAGGATCATGTGAGTAACTCTGTCCAATAATCAGCTGATTCATCTTGAAGAAAAGTAACCTCCAGCAGCAGAACTGAATAAAACCACATTACAAGAGTTTATCATCTGATCTGTGTGAGTTTAGTTATGAAGCAACAATAAAAATTAAAATACATAAAGTTTCATATTTACCCGTCCAAAGTCAAAATGAGGCTCGTACTGTCCTCCGACACCATAGTTAGCAACCTGCGCACACGCAGTAAATAAACACAGACACAAAATACAACCATGAGCTGAATCAAGTTTCTGGTGAGGATTTTACTCCGACACCTAAATCTTTAAATCTTTGTCAAGTACTTACTGAATAAAAGAAACACGAGAATTTGATTTCTGCAGTTTGACAGCAAATACAAATCTATTGATGAATTTAATCATCAACAAACCATTTGTTCTTTTAATAGTTTGAAAGTGTTTCCACGGTGACACAGGAGCTGCAGCTGACTCAAGAGAACACGTCATCGTTCAACCGGGCGAGCGTTACCTGCAGGTCCTCGGCCGTGGTGACGTCCAGACCCGTGATGTCCTCGATCCTCTGGTTGATCTGGTCCACCACTGGATGCTCATGGGCTCCGAGCCAGGCGCTGAGAGGAGACAGGAGGAAGAAGATTGATCACACCAAGCGTCATAGAAACAAAGCGGCACACGGAGGCCAGAGAGCAGCAGGACGAGCAGGAGTACGAGCAGGAGGACGAGCAGGAGGACGAGCAGGAGGACGAGCAGGAGGACACAGATACAGACGGAGATGGATTTTATATCTGTGACTGTGGTGGACGACCTGCGTTCACCTGGAAGTGACGAACGTCACAGTCTGAGTTTTAGACAAAGATTTCATCCAGAAAACTGAACCTTCAACGATCACATTCACTTTTCAGATGATTTAATCGAACTCGTCCACGTCAGGATCTGACTCTGATCAAACTTCTTCTTTAAAAATTGAAATAGTGTTGATTTACAGATGTTCTCGTGTTCGTCGCCTCCACAGATCATTCGATTCAGACTGAACTTCTGTGAGGGTCATGCACCGTGGCACGTCTGAGCTACCGCACCAATCACAGAGAGTTACAGAGAGCGAGGGACAGAGAGACAAAGACAGAGAGAGAGAGAGAGAGAGA